ATTCATAGAGTTCAGTAGGCTTAGCAGTGAAGGGGCCTTTTATTCTTCCCCAAATACTTTGCTAATCTTAAAAGCAAAGTATTACAGGCCGGTGGGGGTATCTAGTTCTTTGTGCCCCCAGGCTACACATCTGGATTTCTTACAGTATAGTCAAGTTAAAGCAACTCAGCACTTAGTTATACTTTGAAAAATAAAGCCACACAGCTCCATTAACCTGGTTATGTATGCTGATATACAATTTGATCCCTTTTTTTTAAAAGCCCAGGTTCTAGAAATTTCCCTCATTTCATGCATGTCACTAAGCCAACCCATGCTCTATGGTTTACCCATCTCTAAAACTGGTGACCAGGGCACCTTCTTCAGGTGTGCCAACCTGGGCCCTGGTCCCCCAGGGCACCTGCAGTGTGTCTTCCTGGCTAGTGTCTTTATAACTTCAACATGAAAGTGTTTCCAATCGGCCTGGGAAAGACCTCAGTGTACTTTCTTCTCTCAGCTCCTACCGCCTCAAGCACATTAGAATCTGAAAAGAAAACCAGTAAAATTAAACTGCTACAAGAAGTTGCAGGTTTAAGTGACATCTATGAATTATTTTTTGAAATCAGAATAATAATTCTCTGTTGCCTTAACAAGATTCCACCTCTCCTGATAAGCACCTTGGCATCTTTTATGAACTCAAATTTCAATTCACTTTTCTTTAGCAACTAAGACTTTATAGCCTACTTCTGCTAGGGAGTCGGGAGTTATAAAACTTCTGCTTACACCTGAAGCTGTTTGCTGAAAAAGACGACATTTCTTTCAGAACATTTATCAATTTAAAAAAAGACATTTAATCTGAAAACCCATTTTAAAAGCTATCAGTCTCCCACAGGGTTATTTTTTTAAAGTGAGATGAGGAGAGGGAAATCGTTAAGTTCTCCTAAGACGTACCTTTTTTTTTTCCTGTGTGTTTCTAAGGATTTAGAATAGTGTGGAAGAAGTGCCTGGGGCTTTTTACTCTGCTCAACCTGAGTTTGAATTTGACCATTACATAGGCATTGAGCCTCCACTTCCCCACCTGTAAAATGGAGTTATAGTGCTCTCACTATCTTTGAGTAAAGAGGTAGTTACAGTTAATCAGGAGAGAAATGATGATAGGAATTTGGTTATAAGATTTTTGTACAAAGACTCTGCTCTTCATAGCCCATGATTTGGAAAGAGAACAAATGACAACTAACAGGTTATAATAAACCCATTCAGAAGTTGCAAAAATCCAACACTGGTAGTAGTTGGAGAGCATGGGAGATGGGCTGGAGCATTAGAATAGATTTTCACTCTTGTCTGTGTAGTATATTAGCTGAGGAACCTTCTGCAAGTTATGTTCATTTCGCTGAGCCTTGACTTCCACTTTTGTAAAAGAAACACTGTTCTATCATTCTTTTTATCTCTCAGAACTGTTGTGAGATCAGATGCAATAAAAAGAGTGTCTTGTCCACCAGAGAGTAGATGCTGCTGCAGGTGAGCTTGGGGGCTAAGCACAAACTAGGTGATGTGGTCACAGCTGGGTGTTTTAGTCAGCTTTTTCCACTGCTGTGACTAAAAGACCCAACCAGAATAATTGTAGAGGAGGAAAAGATTATTTGGGGGCTCAAGGTTTCAGAGGTTTCAGTCTATAGAAGGCTGGCTCCATTCTTCAGGACTCCAGATGAGACTGAACATCATGGCAGAAGAGTGTGGCAGAGGGAAGCAGCTCAGATGGTGATCAAGAAGGAGAGAGAGAGAGAGAGAGAGAGAGAGGTCTCCACTTGCCAGATCCAAAATAATGTATCCCAAAGACATGTCCCAAATGACCCACCTCCTCCAGCCACCCCCTACCCACCCTCTGTTCCTATCCAGTTAATCCAATCAAAGGTATTGATTCATTGATTAAATTAAGACTCTCATAACCTGATTTTCTCCTCTAAACCTTCTTACATTGTCTCACACATGAGCTTTTAGGGGACACTTCACATCTAAACCATAACTCTGGGTAATGTCAGATCTGACCTGAGACGACCCAGGATCTTTGGATACAGCTAAGATGACATTTTACACAGACAATGTTAATGGAAAGCAAGAGATGAGATAGTCTGTTTGGGAGAAATGTTTTCATAGTTTCTTTAAAGATATGTATTATGCCTGGTTAGGAAATTTCACTTCCATGTACAACAAAGAAAGTTGAAACTTGAGGTAGGCTTTTTTTTTTTTAATTGAAAACCATGAAAGTTGTCATAGAGAAGTGAAAAGAAGAAGCAAGAAGTGAAGGGAAGGAGTTTTGAGTTCAGATCAGGATTTCCATCTCTCACTATTAAACCTAATATTTCAAAGCTTAGCATTTGCAGAAGAATAATCAGCCATTGTGCTACAATCGAAAACATCCAGGCATTGATTTGCAGAGCGTCTGAGGCTCCTCTGGTCCAGCCCTGTCTGGTGCTTTGAGGGAAGAATCACTCTTTTCCATGTGTGCAAAAGCCCAGGAGTGTCAGTGGAAGACCTCTTCTTTTTCAAAACTTCTGTGGTGATAAATGTGTACGTGGGATCCCGTTAAGCTGGGAATTCCTTTGAAATGCTTGATTCTCATTTCTCCCTGTGGCCCAGAGACAGATCCTGGCCACATTTGGGTATGAAAACTTTTCAGCTTGGCTGCCCCTGGAGAGTCATGTTCTTTTTGAAAAGAGCTTTAAGAAATTGAAGTCTGCTTTTTCACTCAGGATAAGAATATCCTTCTCAAAGCAGGGAGGCTCCACTGCAGTAACAGGATCCATGTGTTGAAGCTGGCTGTTAATGTTCAGCATATGGGCCAGGGATCGTTCCAGGCAGAAATATGCCTCTAATTCTTTAAAGAATGCCCCTTTAAACTCCAGAAAGGACCATTACTCAGGCGAGGGATGGGGTACTCACAGCTTCTGAGCTTCCTAAGGCCTATGGTTCCTGTGGAATGTGAGCCATGGAAAGCAATAGAAGAGATCCTGGCTGGCCTTAGCATGAGTGGTACTGTTCTGCAGCCGTCTCTTTAAGGCCCTGGGCTCCTCCAAATGCCATAGGGCCTTATTAATGCTGGTCTTGCTCTGCATCTTAAGGTATAATGAAGTTGAAGGTTGTTACTCAGGATCCCAGATTGGTTGTTACACTGAATGCAAACCTCTCACCCTTTGCCCAGAAGCAGCACTGCATACTCAGGACCCTTACCTGGGAGCCAGGAGGCCTGGGCTCCAGGGTACTTCAGTCCTGACTAGAAATGACTGTAGGGAAGTCACTTCATCTCTCTTTCTCATCTGGAATGTAAGGAGGCAGGACAAGATATCTGAGACTCTTTCTGGATCTCCCCTTGTAGAACTGAGTGGCACCTCACTCCAGGGCCAGTCTCGCTTCCACCTGCGGACATTACAGCTCTGGGTAGCATTACGTTCCAGGACAACCCTGGGCACTAGGACACTACAGTCAGGAAAGATGGGGGAAGGCCTTTCATTGTTGCAAAGTAAGAATTTTAGTCCTGATCCCCAACTGGGTCATCAGCAACAGAATGAATGAGGGTGAGACTAGCCGGCCCCAGATCCCTGTAGTATTTCTTTCCAGTAGAGCACTTAGAAGGGCCTGAGCACCCCCCACTTGCCCTGATCATCCTCTCCCTGCCTCTTGCTGTGCCCCATTCCCTATCATTTCCCTGTCTCCTTCCCTTCTTCAGATCCTGGCTCTGCCACATCATCCCTTTCTTTCTACAGCTTCAGCTCTGGGTGTGTGTTCTCGTTACCTGCTTTGTTTGTTAGTGGGATGGTTAGGAAGGCTACAAATCCTCTGCTGCCCCCACACACTCCCTTCCCACCCCAAACAGACCCTTTGATCTCTGTATTCTGCTGAGCACAACTGTAGTCTCTTCAAATGAGTGCAGACCCAGAGCCGCAGCAGCCCTGCCTGCAAGTCAGTCACCATGGCAACAAGCTTTGCCTCCATTCGACTGTGAACAGAAAATGGCTGTTGGAAGGAAGGGCTCACTGAGTCTCTATGATCCAGCCTGTTTTTTGCTCAGACCCCTCCCTCAGATTGGCTTTGAGGAGCTCCATACATTGAACCAAATGTCTGTTAGCTTTTGGCTTTCACATTTGCTTAGGAGGAGGAGAGGCAGAGGGAAGTTGAATTCAAATGAAAAAAAAAATCATTTCTCCTATCCTATAACTGTATTTTCATGAGGAACATTTATCTGCTCTGAGCAGATAAATGAGGAGCAGACTGAATACAGGAATCAGTAAGATCTGGTGCAGTGTATTTTCTTATCAGAGCAGGAGAATGACAGAACATACAGATATTCAAATAAAAATTCAGGGAAAAGCTGTTAGGGGATACAGGGAATTCCACAGGGCATAGACTACAGGATTTCAGAATTGTGTCTGACTAATTGTGGTGATGATGTTTCATGTTGTTTCCTGTTACGGAAATAGACATATTGGTCCTATTTTCTTGACTTAAGGTGGGCATCTGTTTGCATCCCCTGCTTCAGAACCAGTTTGAATCTTCACATTGACCCTCTCTTCACAGTGATTAAAGATGGTGGCCTGGGGAATTTGCAAGAAACCCCTGGGTATAGTTCTGGTGTGGTGAGCTTTCTGCTCTTGGCACAGCTATGGGGACACTTCAGATTGACATCCAAAAGGGATTGGTTGGGCTGCTGTTTCTGTGAGTCCAGAGTGTTGCTATTTGGAATTGGACCATAAGCCTCCTCAAGGGTCAAAAATATTTAGGCAGAGGTCACCCCAGGTCTCCCAAGGGACCTTGCATTATCTCATAGGACATAGCAGTTCTAGATGTGAATGATCAGGGCTGTGTCCACTCCTGGCTGCAGTGTGAGGGTACTTTGGTGGTGACAAGTTCTCAAAATCCACACAACCTCTACCTTTCACACTTCCTTAAACCTGGGTTTTGAATGAAAGCTCTGAGTTTAATTCTCAAAATTTCAAATGTTTGTCTGAACTGGACTTTTTCTTTTTCAGTTTCTCTGCAGGTGGATATTGTTCCCAGCCAAGGGGAAATCAGCGTTGGAGAATCCAAATTCTTCTTATGCCAAGGCAAGTGCCCTCCTGTGTCCTGTTATATTTCAGAGCTTGCCTCAGAAATCCATGAGACATCCCAGCAGCTCAGGAGGCTGAGGCAGGAGGATCGCCAGTTCAAAGTCAGTTTTAGCAAAAGCAAGGCACTAAGCAACTCAGTGAGACCCTGTCTTTCAATAAAAAACAAAAATAGGGCTGGGGATGTGGCTCAGTGGTCTAGTTCCCCCGAGTTCAATTCCTGGTACCCCTTAGCCCCCTACCAAAATAAACACCCATGAGGCAGAGCAGAAGCTCATGAGTGCCAAACCAGTGGCGCCCACACCTAGAATTCTGGATATGGCTCTGCTCCAAGGTCAGTAGTGTGACCCTTCAAGATCCAGGAGGGCTCTCAGACCCCCTTTCTTCCTCTCAAAGGCTGCCCTAGTGTGGTGCTATACCTCACCTGGAGTTCTGCTTGATGACTGAAGGAAACCCAAGAGTTTTGGAGGGAGATAATCAGTACAACTCTCAGACAGCAAGTTATCTCAGATGTCCTGTCCTGTCCTCACCCAGTAAACAACACCAGATAACAGTACTGACTTAGAAATAATGCTTCACTGGGTCCGTTTAAGTCTCATTTCTTAGAATCTGAGACCTTGAAAATCCAAGAAGGTCCACATTTTTCTTGAAAGTAGATTGAACACTGATATCTCTCTAGGTTTGAGTATATCTATCTTGGGTTTTCCAGGTCTATTGTGAATGCTGATACTCTGTCCCATAACCCCCACCAGAGCCCTGGGATATATTAGAAGTAGTGTCCTTGTTGTTTGTTTAGGAAATATCTCCCATTTCCAACAATTCCATTATTCCCATTCCCAGTGATTATCAGGAATCATCCCGTGGAGGGAAGAATATCAAATTAGGTCTCAGATACTACTGGGATCCGGAACATGGCAGACCAGAAGGAGTTGAGCTAGGTGTAAACTGTGACATTTAGCGAGCAGCTTTCAGCAGGGAGAGACCTTTAACTGCTAGCATGATCTGCACTGGATGAGGTGGCTGTGGCTGCCGGATGCATTCCCTCCAGCTTTGCCTTCATTACAGCAATTTCAATGATCTGGAGATGCAGCCGTGGAGCCCACAGCACATCTTGCAAATAGCGATATTTATTGAAAACATGATGGGCTCTGAAAGGAAGACTTCATTTCCATACTAAGCATCTGCACAGGGCTGGGTGATGCGGGCTGTGCAGGAACAGGGCAAAGCTGCGACCAGTGGGGCCTAGAGCCCTTCACCCTGCTCCAGCCCAGCATCCATCTCCCCCTCTTAGGGAAAGGAGGCATGGGTGATTCTGACTAGCTTCTTTGCAGCATTTAAGATGAATTTGTCTGGCTGAGGCAGGAGATGTTGAAAGGGCCACCATGTCAGTGGGTACAATAGCTGTTAGACTCAAAGTGATTTGAATCTGCACTCCTAGACCAGACAATGTTGTCATCCTTGTTTCATAATTGAATCCCTCAAAAATAAGCTGATTACCAGGTACCAAGGTGCACACCTGTAATCCCAGCAGCTTGGGAGGCGGAGGCAGGAGGATCACAACTTTAAAGCCAGCCTCAGCAACTTAGGAAGGCCCTAAGTAACTTAGTAAGACTCTGTCTCAAAAAATAAAAAGGGCTAGGGATGTAGCTCACTGATTAAGCACCTCTGGCTTCATTTCCTGGCGCCAAAAGGGGGTGGGGGCACAGGCTGATCAACTGGTTCAGATTAACTCAGATCTTAGATATACCAACTAATTTACTTCCCATTCTAGCTTAGCGACCAGCTCCTCATAGGTTCTCAGCAAATTTGTCTTCCCTTACTAAGGATAGGAGGATAGGACCACTATAAAGCAATATGAGAGCAAGTAATTGTTGAGCTTTCCAAATACTCTAAGAAGTTTTATGTATATAATAATTAAGCACAGAAGCCAGAGGAGATCTGAGCCATGTTTTGACATAAATGGTCATCACTGCCTGGCTATGCAACCTTGATTGTTTGGTTGGTTATTCAGTGGCTATTACTGTGTTGCCACTGTCACTCTGAAGGGAACTTAGTCTTTCTTATTTCAGTGGTTTGAATATAATCTCTTCATCCTCAGTGGCAGGAGATGCCAAAGATAAGGACATCTCCTGGTTCTCCCCCAACGGAGAAAAGCTCAGCCCAAACCAGCAGCGGATCTCGGTGGTGTGGAACGACGATTCCTCCTCCACCCTCACCATCTACAACGCCAATATCGATGATGCCGGCATTTACAAGTGTGTGGTCACTGGTGAGGATGGCAGCGAGTCCGAGGCCACCGTCAACGTGAAGATCTTCCGTAAGGGCCTTTCTCTTCTGTGTTCTCTGTCCTTTCTTTGGTCAGCAAGACACATGAATGGGTAGTAGAAAGCATGAGATGGCCATAACGTGACCAGTGAGGGCCTGACACCATGATTTTTCTCTTCCTGAGTCTTTTCTGGCCTCGCTCAGAGTTCCAGTACATTCTCAGATGGTCCTTGGCCAACCCACAACCCTGATTCCCACTGGTCACAGCTACCCTCTACTGACTTCTGTTTTCTGAATTCAAATTACACATTTTCCAGAGAGCTATTATGGACTCTTCTGTGCTTCCCCCAGTGTTGACCGAAGGGTGAACAGTTCAGGCTTTCCCTTCTTATTCCACTTTTCCCTGCTAATTATAGAGCCCAAAAGCCCAAGTAGGTGTGGGATCATTATTGGAACATTGGATGCCATTCAGTGCACACCATTCCCACTGCCGCTGAAACCCTGTCGGGAGGTGGCATCTCATTACCTTGTTATCATACTTCTGTCCCGTAAGCCAAAGTCACTGTGGGTGACAGCTAATGGAACAATATTGATTGCCACAGTATTTATTGCCATTAAGTGTGCTCTCCTTCTGTTCTTCAGAATTCTTTCTGCTGTAGGGAAGATGGAGTGGGGCTGGGAGTAGGCACAAGAGTAAGAGACAAAGAAAAGACTGGTGTCACCTCTCATTGTAGAATATGCATTACCCTTCATTAGCATCATCCCACATGGAAAAAAATCCTTGGTGAAGGCACTGCTTATATAGAACCTTTTCTGAACAAAGTAAAAAATTCAGCCCTCAGTAGATATTGGTTGCTAAACAATGGTGACATCGCCCCCTCCATTACCACCTTTGGGCTAGCTGCTCTGCTTCATATCTGTGACCAAGTACTGAGTGGGACACCCTCCTGTACAACAGTATATATGGGCAGAATCTTGCCTGAGACTCAAGTCCAGACAGCATGGCTCTAGTGGGAAGGGATCTTGTGGGAGAACCTGCTGTCCTCCTCACTCTCCTACTCATTTTCCAGAGAAGCTCATGTTCAAGAATGCACCAACCCCACAGGAGTTCAGGGAGGGGGAAGATGCCGTGATCGTGTGTGATGTGGTCAGCTCCCTCCCCCCAACCATCATCTGGAAACACAAAGGCCGAGATGTCATCCTGAAAAAAGATGGTGAGACTTCAATTTCCTGGTAGTTGCCTTTCCCTTGGCCACCAAGTTATCTAGGTTTCCACCTCTACCAGTCCCTGAAGGATTCTCATCCAAACTCAGATTTGGTGTCCCCAAACCCACACGCAGCTTCCTGGTGTATCCCTAGCTGGTATACTCAGGCACCCGATTTTCTCCCCAGAGCAAATATACATTTCCAATACACTTTTGTTCTCTGTTATATTTCACACCTACAAACACATTTTTTCATTTGAGCCTAAAGACCTACCTTATAATGCAAAGTTAGGAAATAAGAAAGAGGCTCAGCTCCCTGCCTGAAGATTCCAGAGTTCTCTGACTGATCCTTGGATGAACCTGCCTCTTGTCTCTTCTAGTCCGATTCATAGTCCTGTCCAACAACTACCTGCAGATCCGGGGAATCAAGAAAACAGATGAGGGCACTTATCGCTGTGAGGGCAGAATCCTGGCACGGGGGGAGATCAACTTCAAGGACATTCAGGTCATTGTGAATGGTGAGGAGATCTGTTCTTCCTGTTCTCTCCATGGCTACAACCTTGGTTCCCCCAAATCTTCTAACTTCCTCTTTGTTCTATAAAATAAGTTCTGTCCTGACTCAACCATCCATCTTTCCTGAATGCTTTCCCTAGCATAATTTGTAGGGTCTTTTTATTTTTCATTTTTAATATACTTGCCTTTTGGGTCTCCCCTCATTTATGGGGGTGCTCAGTGCAGTTATTGAATGCCTTTCATTGCCTTACAGCACTGGAAACTTTCTCATGCTTACTAATAAGTTCATATTCATCCTCATTGTCCTTGATGTTACAGTAATTGTGAAGTTAGTCCCCTTGGTTCAATGTGAAGAGAAAATATTACAATCAATTCAGGTCTCAGAATAGTCAGAATCATGGTCCATGGGCTTATTAATCTTAATTTGCAGAGTCAAATAAACACACCCGTGGAATCGATCTGATCTGACATTTACAAGATGTTTACAGGAAATTATAATGTCAGTACTAAGAAAATAAGTAAATCATGTCTGAATTGTTCTGGCTATTGATATGCATTTTTTGCCAAACTCTCCCCCTCTCATTCCTTTGGTAAAAACAGTTTGTGCACAAAGTTGTTTATGACAATTCCAAAGAAATGTCACTCTTTGGTTTTGAGCTGGTGCACTTCAAAATGGTAGTAGACTTATAACCACCAGGAATAGTAGTTTTCAGTTTTTTCCAGTATTGAGAATCCTTCTTCACATAAATTCTACTGACTGTGGTAGTTACTTAGTGTGCATTGACTAAGAACATATATAATGACAAATAATTACTATAAATCGAATATCACGTTAACGTGAGTCAAATGTGATATTATAGCTTCTAAACTCTTGAAAAAACAATAACGCATGTTTGTGGATAAACTGTTTATTCCATTTACATTAATTATTTGATGCATTAAATTTTGATCCTTTACATTAATTCTGTAGCCACCCAGGACTCTCTTGATCCACAGGCAGAAACTCCCTGACCTGGGAACCCCTGAAGTGTCTCTTCTCCAGCCATTAGTTCTCCCAAGTTTTCACAACCATGCCTAACATCTTTCTTTCCTTTAGTGCCACCCACCGTCCAGGCTAGGCAGACCATTGTGAATGCCACCGCCAACCTGGGCCAGTCTGTCACCTTGGTGTGTGATGCTGAAGGCTTCCCAGAGCCCACCATGAGCTGGACAAAGTAAGAAACTGGCTGGTGTGTTGGGTCATGGGCTAGAAGAGAAGGGGCATCATAGGGCCCACTCCATGTTGGCATTTCAGTGACCTGCATACGGACTTCTTGGGAATATCATCTCCAAGAAGAATAGATTCTTTTCTGTAAGGTCCTCTTGCCTTGAGCATTGGATTATTGCCTCATTTTCAATCTTAAAGGGGCAGGTCCAGAAGGAGGCCTCTTTGAAGCCTTTGTGAGTACAGTTTACAGCCATTGGGCAGAGTCAGAGGATCAGTGGAGGAATCAAAGGTATATGTGGAAGTAGACATTGGTGTCCTCCCTTCTTGTGAAAACTGGCCCTTTCCCATTGGCTCAATCTGCATTTTATGGAAACTAATTAAAAATAAACATCTTAACTCTCTCTGTGGTCAAAATCATAGTCCTTTGCATTTCTGTTTCTGTAGGGATGGGGAACAGATAGAGAATGAGGAAGACGATGAGAAGTACATCTTCAGTGATGACAGCTCTGAGCTGACCATCAGGAAGGTGGACAAGAACGATGAAGCCGAGTACGTCTGCATTGCTGAGAACAAGGCCGGCGAGCAGGATGCATCTATACACCTCAAAGTCTTTGGTAAGCACAGTGGGGGTCAAGATCACTGCTCTGCTGCAGTTCTTCTTACCCTGTCCACTCTAGTTGGATTATATCCCAAAGGCAGCCTTTTCTTACCAGCCCCATCATCCAAGCCCTAGTCCAAGCCACCATCAAGCTCACCTCACCAGCTCAATAGCCTCATAGCTGTCTCCCTGCCTCTCCCCCTTAGTCCCCTTCAGTTTCTTTCCCTCGTGGCAGCCAGCATGGCCTAAGTACCACTGCACTTTTCAAAATCCTTCAGAATAAAATCCACACTGCTCCACCTACCAAGCATTTGCCTTTTCTCTCCACCCTCATCTTTTCTTTGCTCCCTACAGGAAACTCTCCATCCACACCAGCCTTCTTTCTGTCCCTCAAATACACCGGGCTTGCTCCCCATTTCTGGGACATTGCATTTGATGTTCTTCTGCTTAGAATATCATTCCCTGTGAGCTGCTCAAAGCTGTCTTCTCCTCCTCATTATTCAGCTATCAGTGCCAACACACCTTCTCCATGAGTACTTCCTTCACTGCCTTGGCTACTACGGCTCCCCGGTCCCTGCTTCCCCCTGATTTACCCCAAAAATCTTTTTCATCACTTAATTGTGACTGTTTCAAGCACTTATCAATACCTGAACTCATCTCATTTATGTATTTGTCTTGGGATTTGTTAATATCCCAGCCCCACTAGCACTTTTACTCCAAGATGGCAGAGCGCTGCCTGTTTTACACAGACTTCGTCCCTGGTGCCCTAAGCAGCACCAGACTCATAATAGACCTTTGGTAAATGTCAGTGAATGACTGGCTGCCCGCCTCACCTTTTTGGCTGCCTTCGCTGTTCTGTGTGAAACTGTTACAGTCAGAAAAAGAGCCCTCACTTTGTCTTTATAAACTCAGCAAACCTCCATGCACTTCAGAACTGAAATACATTTTGACCTGACCTTGAAAAATGAATTTGTTGCAATGAGATGTTTACCTTGATAGGTCTCAATTTTGTCTGCTTATCTGTTTAAAAAATACTGATAAGCTGGTTTACTGTAGATGGTGCTGCTGGGGTACAGGTGCCTGAGGGGCAGCTCTGGGACCTGTCCCTCCCAGGTAGTTGAGATGTGTATCTGGGAACCAGCCTTGGGACTGCTTATTTAACCTGATCAAGAGAACTGTGTAATATGTAAACATGCAGTTGAGAATCAAGTGTTTATATGCAAATGGCCCTGCATAATCATAGATGAATTTTATTTATTCATCTCTGATGGTTGGGTTTAGAAATAACTTTTGGTTTGTTCAAGGTACCTGTATGTACTTGAGAGTGAAAGTTAAATTTCATAAAAAAAACATTCTGGGAAATTTTTTCTCTAATTCAGACTAATCTTCCCCAGTCACTCTGATCTTATTAAGTTTTTCCATATTGTAGGAAAAGACAGATGCATTTGTTTTTCTTTCTTTTAACAAATATTTATTGAACACCAATGCTGCTAGACAAAGGAGCTACAGAGATGAGTAGAATTTGACTCTGAGAAGCACAAAGGAGAAAAACATACAAGCTTCTAAATGATAATAGATAGTGTCAGTCCAGGTGACTGCTGTGGGCCCAGCCAAAGTTGCAAAGATGAATGACAGGGACTCTGTTCTCATCAGTAGGTTCACGGGATAGTGTAGATGACCAATGCAGAAATTTTAAATAACAACCCTTATATTGATTTCATAATACCAATATGTGCAGTGTTTTTTAGGGGAAAAAATGATCTCTGATCTCATGTGATAAAAATGAGAGAAGTCATTGAAACAATGTGTTGTTTTGTAGGTGGGAATTACAGGTGAAGTAGGGCAGGGCAAGCATTTCAGGACTCATGTGCAGCTGCAGAGGCAGAAAAAGCAGCATGGTGTTGCATGACAGCTACTTGTGGACAGGGGCTGTGTCTGTTTTGCTCACAGATATGTCCCCAGCACCTAAGACAGTAGCTAGCATACAGAAGGCACTAGCATTTGAATAAGTCAAAGACAAGGCATTAATTCATGGGAATGAAGCATAACTTATGTGGCAAGAAGATGAGCCTGAAATCATGTCATCATCACTTGTCTTTAGGAAATGCTTTGGGACATTACTCTTCTAAAGTAATAATAATAATACCCAACACAAATAAGCATTTATACTGTGCCAAGCACCATGAAGCACTATCAATAAATTAGCTCTTTTAATCCTCATCACAACCCTATGAGGTAGATTTTATTATTATCCCCATTTTACAAGTGAGCACAGAGAAATCAAATGCCCCTTCCAAGGATCCAGGATTCAAACCAAGGCAGTTGGCTTGTAAATCCATTCCCTGAACTAACTAATGGCAGTTACTACTGCCCAATTCCATATGCCAGTGGCAGTCACACCATCTGAATTGCCTAAGGTATGGTGAGTAACATGAAGATGAGGTGCTCTCTTCACCACCATGCTCCTCATAGACTATCTACACACTGAGCTCTAATGTGGCTGGTGGAGAACAGCTCTTGGCTCCTCCCCCAGGTCTTCTGGTGACAGCAGCTGCCCCAGGAAGGAAGGATGGGAGGTGAGTAAGGGGTCATGGTAGAATGAAGAATCAGAGCAAGGAAAACACAATAGGCAAGGAGGCCAAATAAGATTTGTCTTCCTTCCCATCCTGTATCCTCAATCCTTGATGCCTATACCCCTCTGCAACATGCGCGTGTGCACACACACACACACACACACACACAGAGTTAGTTTCCAAAGACTGAAACTGGGAGAGTGGAGATTAGGTAGACCAAAGCAACCAGGAGAAAGGTGGCTTGGCTCCTAAAAAGGCAGGTAAGGAGATCATAGACCTGTGTTGAATCCAAAATGAGAATCCTCTATAATATCCCAAGGAAGTTCATACAGCCTCCTTGAAGTAAATGGTGCCTCATATACACCTCCCTTTCTACCCCCTTTCACCTTCTTAACTTCCCTTCCTTTCTTCTCCCCCATTGATATGGAGCAAGGGAACCAGGAGGGGAGGAGCCAGCTGATTAGGGCACCATCTTTCTTGACTCTTTTTTTTCTCTTTCCTTCTCCTTAAGGGTTGCCATCAGGGGCCACTACTGGGGAGAAGTAGGCCAGTTCCTCATCAGTAGTGGAATCTAATGAGGAGGAAGAAGAAAGAACACCTGTAGCTTAGATAGTAAGGATGAAGTCAGTAATCTTGTAGCTTCAGGAGGGGATGGAAATCAGAAATAAGGGACCTAACTAAATTAGACACTGCTGCAATCATGTCCAAATGACATCTTTTTTTTTCCATAAGAAAATAATCTTTTCTAACATGCATTGCCTCATTATCAGCTAGAAGCTGCTTTTACCTTCCTTTAATTTTATCATCCTGTAAATCTGGCAGTGAGTTTCCATTGCTCCTCTCTCATGGGCCCTTATGAAGAAGTATTTTTGTCTCTGCAGATTATTATGCTCATGCTAATGCTCTTGAGTTCTCATGCTGCCATGGACTGAGCCAAGTTCACTGGTGGGCAGCAGCCTTGCTTAACTGATTCCCCTCATGACTAAAGCAGCACTTGTGGGTGAAAGAAGAGGACCAGCAATGGCCTAAAGGAAGATGCACCTGGTCACACCTTCCCAGAAGCCTGTTCAAGTCTCTTCAAAGAAAGCAGGGGCCTCAGGTCTCCCCAGGGTCCTTCTTGGGCTAGGGTTGCCAGAGCCTGGACTGGGGTTGGAGTGGACAAGGCTGACTCTTAGCAGCAGACTGCAGAGTCATGGACATGCTTGTAAAACTCACAGGATGGCAGTATTCCTAGGAGGGCCCGCAAGTAGAGATGCAGTGGAACAGCCTGAGACACCGAGTCTAGGGAGGCAGTTGGACAACAAAGGAGGATCCAAAAGCCAAGGACCCACAACAGAAGTTAATTAAGATGCAGCAAGGACCATTGGAAGATAAAACTGGGAGAGAAGTTCTCTCAGTGCTGGAATCCCGGGGGAGGGATCCTAAGCAGGGTGAACCTACATCTGTTCCTGTTTGCCCATTGTCCCAGTACAAATATTGAGAGCATCCCTGTTACTCCCAAACAGTATTCCAAACTCTCTGTGTTGACAGTGGCCCTGCTTCTGAACTAAGAGGGGATTAAGCAACCAGTGTTGCGTCCTTCCAACAGTCCTCGGTAGACTACTCAAAATTAGCCTTTGTTAACAATGTTTTTAATAAGAATATAGTTCGTCTTTTTCTGAGGTCTTGCACAATGGACCCTTTGTAACCATCTGGTAAATGGAGCCACCAAGACCAAATATTAATAGAGGTCAACTGACCTTTGTCTGTCTTCTGTTAACCTTTTGCTGCCAGGACAAAGTGCTCTGGGTCAGGGGAAGGTCAGCAAACACTATCTAGATCTCAAAATCTGCGTTTCAAGAGGCCAGAAATTTAGCCATCCTAGGACTATCTCCAGGCCCAAATAGCTGTTCAGTTTAGAGAATTCAGTTGTTTGGCCACATTTTATTTTGTTTTTCTTTTACTTTTTAGGGTGCTTTTGACAGTATAGGACAGTCAATTTTATTTTACTTGCCTCTTTACTTTTGTGTTTATTTTATTTTACCATTATTTTGCTTTGTTTTCTCTCACCCTCTAAAACCTCCTATTCGTCAGCACTTAGCACCTACTCTTTCCAAGTTGTAACCTCCTGCAAATTCGTATTTATCAAGATAGACACAAAATCTTCCTCCTGGAAGACTTCATTCACCTGGGCTCCATCAACTCAAATTTGTGATCATTTGGCCACATTGGATTAAGATGTCCTTATGTGCCAGCTAGCCAAAAAGAATTTTCTAAGCAAGCTGTCAGTACAGATTAACTTCAGGAGGATATTTGAGCTATATAGATTTTATATGGAAGCAGGCATTTGCTCCAAACAAACAAAAAAATATAGCTCTGTCGTTGTCTTCTGTTTATCAAAACATCAAGGACCTCAGCTTGGAGGGTAAACACAGGCAGTAGTCAATTATTCTACTTGTAGTTCCTGCATGAATTTAAATATAAAGAAAATGTAGTTATTTCAAAAATTATTTATAATTCTGATTTTGCTGCTATTGTCATTCATCTCTCTAGCCCGGCCTTTGTCTCTATTAGTGAAATAAGTTACAATTGTGCAGTATTATATCTTTTTTTCTTCTACGGAAGGTTCAGCAATTTCAGAGTATAATTGTTTTTAAGTGGGAAAATTCAATTTTCTCTAATGTTTTAACGTTTAACTCAGCTTTTGGAATGCTCGTGTTTCTTGCATTACCCAAACATTTGGAAAATGAACTCATCTCAACTCCTCCTTCCCATCCTCAGCCCTCCATACTTACTCGCCTAGCATTCTTACTTGGGTTAATGCTAACACCTCCTAGTCATTAAGAACTGAGCCATTTAGCCTCCTTGTCATTCCTTCCTTTAATTCTCTCCATCCCTGCTTGCCCTATATCTGTTCATTTCCACTTCCTCTGAAACTTCCTTCCCCATCTCTCAAAGCTGCCCTTTGGTCTCCATTCCCTCTAAATCTACCAGATTCAGGTCTCAGTGTTACCTCACATCTGTGTCATTGCCAGAGCTTCCAAATTGGTTTCCCTACATCAAGGTTTTCTCCATTCTAAACCACCTTGAATTTTCCGTGGATTAACCTTGAAGTATAAATGATCTTGGCACTGCCCTGATTGAACACTGTCCATGGGCCTCCACCGGCCAAAATGGGAAATTCCAACAATATAGCCTTGCCTCTCTCTGCTGCTGCGGGCTGCACTCCTCTCTTCCCAGCCCTCTCTTCACATGTCCTTGCTCTCATTTTAAGTCAAGCAGTTTTTTACATTTGGAATGACTCCATCTTTACCCCATAGGCATTAGCTGAAAATCTCATGACCCAGCCCCAAAGCTGACTCTTAAGGCTTAGACCAGGGCCACCATCTTCTTCTGTTCCATGGTCCCTGCTGCTGTTGCCCTATCTCACTACACAGGATATGTTTTTATTACTATGATCTGTGTCTTGTCTTAAGCCTCTTTTGTTGAACCCTTTAGGAATCTATTCTGTGTTTTCTACAATACCCAGAATGGGTTCTTACATTTAATAAATAGATAACCTTTGTTGAAGGGTTACACATCATCATTTAAACCCAGTAAATAATCATATAAACTCATAGAAATGTTTTGTCTTTTCAGCAAAACCTAAAATAACCTATGTAGAGAATCAGACAGCCATGGAACTGGAGGAGCAGGTCACTCTTACCTGTGAAGCCTCAGGAGACCCCATTCCTTCCATCACTTGGAGAACTTCCACCCGAAACATCAGCAGCGAAGAAAAGGTATACTGTTGCCCAAGAGTTTCAGGGCCATGGAACACAGACTTGATGCACATTGAGTCTGCCCTGCCCAGTTCTCTTCGGTGAGCCAGAAGGGGGGTATATGGTCACCAGAGGCCACAGTCAGGTCCTGCAACCTCCCTCCCCCAGCCTGTCCAGACATGGCCTGCTCAACATCCCTTTTAGTGGAAAGGGCACAATTCCTTGTATAGATGGGCAGGGGTGCTATGGTACTGGGCATGGTTAAGTTAGGTGTTCTGGAAAGGAGGCGATAGTGATGTTCAAACCCAGGGTTGTGGATCTTTGAGGAACAAGGAGAAGCAAGATCCCTGTATACCAGGTAATATTATCATCTGGGGAGTACCCAAGGAAATGTCTCCTGAAAGTAACAGGGACCAAAATGAGCCTATTTTTTCCCTCATGTTTTGTACACTCATGCTGAATATGCACATATGCACAAAAGCTTGGCTGCCTTTGTGTCTGCCTGTATTCTTGGTCACATTTGGATTTCATTTTGTTCTAAAGGCAAAAATAATTAGCAGTTTCTAAACGATGATGTTGGTACCTGGGTTCTGCAATTTATTCACCAAGGGTTCTTAACATCACAGTAAACTTCCTCGGAAATTTAAATGACTAAAAATGTAGCTTTAAAGCACATGGATTTATAGGCCACCGGAAAGCTCTCTTTATTATTGACAATATATAAAAATTAAGGTGACCTTCCCCCATTATGCAGCCCTTCGCTATTGAGTGGGCTGAAACCAGAAGAAGGAAAAAGCCTGGTTTTGAAGCAACTTCAATCCTCTTATGGCACTTGTCCAACCTGCTCTCGTATATCCTGTAGTAATGGGCTTCATTTTAGTTGACCAAAGCTTTGTTACCTGTTCGGGAGTAATGGCCTTAGCCTTAAAGAACATTTAAAATGGATTGCTTATTGACCAGAATGTCAAAAATGATAGATCTCTTCACTCTTCTGCCTGCTGAAAGGAAATCCCTAAACAGGATAAACTCAGCTACAGCCCAAAAAGAGGAGTGTGAAATACCAGAGCTAAATTTGGAATTTGCATTTGAGGAACTGATTTCTGTCTCGCTAATAGAAAACAAAGCTAAATCAAAAGGATCAGGGATTGCTGTTCCAAATAGCCCCCCCCCCTTTTTTTTTTTTTTTTGCAATTTTTCATCCAGAATTGAATTCAATGTAACAAAAACTCAACTGAAGAACTGCTAAATATTTTTGAAACTCACATATGCTGTTTGATATGCAAAAACCAGCTAGATGAAGAAATGTGGTGTTTACTTGAATACTTTCTTTATCAACAATGGAATTGAACCCTTAGCTAAGATTTCAGCTCCCATTGTGTGTTATGTGGATTGAATATACATTTCGGAGTTTGATCAATAGGATGGATACTTGGCAGGTCTTTTTGTACCCAGCTTAACAGTGGACTTGTTCAGAGTGAGCCAGTCTATATCTTTGTCCTACAGTGAAAGACAGAAATATCTCTCTTAGTTGTGTGCTTTTAAATTCTCTATCTTTTCTAGGAATAGCTCAACATCCAAATCAGACCAGAAGGACTATTAAGATTTGTGCCTATCTCAGGTTCTTTAATAGGTTGGCAGGTCTGGCTTGAACCTATGATTTTATTTTTATATAATGAGAAAAGATAGAAACTAATACACACTCACATTTACTAAATATTGAGACTGAAAGAATCTAACAAAGGCCCTCTCAAGCCTAGCAGGTACCAGGCTTGCACAATTCAGTTTTAAGTATAGACCAACAGTCTTAGTCTGAGATAATCACTCATGCCCAGCCACAGGCTCTGTGTTGTGGTTTCCTTTGCTGGTGACTATCTGCAAATTTACTTGAAGTGATATTACTGGAGCTCAAATCCAGTCAGTGTCTAGAACAAGTCCTCCAGATCAGCCTATGATGTAACACACCAGATTAATATGAATTATCCTAAATGAAATCCTCTATAATAAAATTTGCCATTTCTATCCATTAAATAGTGACATAAAAGAGGCATGCTATCCACCTTACAGCATACTTAGTTGCTTATTAAAAAAATAAATATGGTCATCCATGAGCAGGTTAGGTTCCCGAAAATAAATTTTACTTTTATTTTGGCAGTCTCTTCATGTTCTCCAACTAAAGTTGCATTGTATATAATTAGGTTTTGAGATTACTAGACTCCCTGACTTGTAGGAGTGGGAGAAAGCAATTTTCTTTTTAAAATCAGGATGATACACAAGACAGGTCAGAATAGTCAGTCGTATCTAATGGTAGAGTAAAAGCCTGAGATTCAGATTACATGGCATGCAAAACCGTGGATGTTCAGAAGGCACCTTTTCACGTCTTGAAATCTCACCAGCCCCTTCTTCTAGCATCCCTGCTAGAAAAGTCACTCTGTACCCTGTCTAAAATGGTGACACTGTCAGTCCTCCATAGGACAGTTGGTCAACGCTGATGATCAGGAAGGACTTCTTCCTTGTCTCTTCCTGTACCCAGTGTTCCCCACCTCTGCCACTCAGACCTTCATCTGAGTCACTGAAATAGCACTTGAACTTTCCTCAAGTTGGTCTGATCTTCTTCCCTTAACACACCCAGCCATTTCCACTGTTTCTTCTGTCATGGCTTTCACATCCTTCACCCTTCTAGTTGTCCTGTACTAGGTGGCTTCAATTCACTAGTCCCATGCCCAGTGTGACCTATGCAGACTTCAGTAGGACCGTTGCCTTCTGGATCTGGACACCATTATGCAGTTAAAGTTGCATTAGCCCTTGAGCAGTGTCCTCATTCTGTTGCCTCATATTGAGATTGTGGTCAACTAACATGCTCAAGTCTTTTTTATATGAACTTCACTTAAGCCATATATCCCCTATCCTGTTCTCATGCAACTGATTGCTTAACCAACAATGCAGAATTTTATACTTATTTCTGTTAAAAATTTGTATATACATGTTGTAGCCCAGTCTTTCTCAGTAGGGTCATTTATGGCAATTTAGGAGACCCTTCCTTCACTGGGACTGTCCTATGCAATGTAAGATGGTTAGCATCACTGGCATTCTCCCCCTTAAATGTCAGGAGCCACTTCTAATCATTACTAAATTGTCAAATATCCCCTGGCTTGAGAATGTCTGTTCCTCACAGTCTTTCCAACCAGACAGATCTGACTTTCATCAGAAGTGTCCTTAGAAGTCTGAGAGTCAGAGCATCTCAGTGCATGTGGACCCCCCTATTTTATATGTGTATATTAAAAGTAATGAGGCAAGAGCTGTCATTGGTGACCCCAACCCTAAGCATAAGTCCAAGGGCAGCTAATTCAGTAGCCTTCCCAATGCAGCTGTCATCTAATGTTGGTAGTAGCTAGTGCTTCCCAGTTAGTGTGAACACTTAGTTGAAACATCTTTGTCCAAGTCACTGATAAAAATGTTTAATGGGACAAGGTCAAGTTCAGAGCCCTTAGAGTGCCTCCATGGCATGGCTACCCTCTCTGTAGGTAGCTTAGAAGGTGAAGTAACTGGTGCCACGAAGTCACAGGGCTCTCTTGTGATTCTGATGACTTTCTTGGAAGCCTCAATGATTCCTATAATATAGTACATACGCAAATTAAAGCTATTCTGTGTTTTTGCATCACTGTTTCAGTCTGATATTTCCTTTCCTATGAGAAGAGGCAGGTGAGAGAAGTCTTTATGCATCACCCATACACACTTAGTAACTTGCTAATGGAATATCAATGTTCTTCACTAAAAAAAGAAGGAATGGACTTTGGCAGAATGCATTTCCATACATTGAACATAAAGTTCAAAAGAAGAAGAAGGAGGAGGAGGAGGAGAAGGAGGAGGAGGAAGAGGAAGAGGAATGGGGCAAGCAAAACCTAGTGCAATTAATGTCACACCCTATCTTTGATCATATCTCTGAATTGAGTTTGATCACTGACTTGAGAATGATAATTATTAAGATTTAGCCAGTTGAGTTGGTTGAGTTCAACAATAATAGCTAGACTGTGTCTAATTGTTTGGATCATTCAGATCATTAAGGTAGATCAATTGTCTGACAGTTGGTCCATTACTTAGTGGTCACTGTAATCTTGAACAAAAAAGTGAACTTCATAATGGGCCAATTGGATGATGTATGTGAAGCTTTTTGTGATTGATATTTCAGAAAGTTTTTGTGCATCTGCATCATTTCATTACTCATCCTACACAGATTTATCTTCAACATTGCCTGCCAGGTATTTGAATGAGTGTTACTAAATTCCAGGCACCATTTATACATTGTGTGAAACACAGGGATGATGATTTTCATACTCTATCCTGGCAGGAAAAAAATCTATCATTTGCCTATGTGAACACCTCTATGCCTTGAAATGATTATAAAGAAAGGTGTATGAAGCCTTCATGATTAAGTAATGGAGAGAGGTGAAGTGTTGAGATGAAAAAAAGAGAGAAAAAAATGAAGGGCCTTTTGTGAGCCTTGAATCTTATGCTGATAGAGTATGTCACAAATGAGACCTTTTGAAATTCTGGATTCTTTGGAAGCTGAAGCTTTTCTTTTCTCCAGGAAGAATTTCTCATTCGCTACTGAAAATAGTGACAACATAAAGCAGTCAGAGTCTGGTTTATCTCGGGTGTGGGCAAATGTACAATAAGGAATGCTTAGGATAATTAGAAAGATGCTTCACTTTAGTTTGTATACATATTCCTGCAAGCTTCTTGGGCATAAGACAAAAAATGTAAATAATATTAAAACAACCTAGGACTAACAATTTCTGGAGTATTACTAATAGTACCCTAACTTAGTTCCTCAGTATGTATATTTGCATATCAGAGTGTCTTGATATGGGCCACACCTTCACCAAATTATTAGGTCCAAGACATTTATGTCATTCCACTGTCACACAGGTAAGAGTTAGGCTACTAGAAGCATCGTGTCACTAGCAACCACTTATTCTAAAAGCCACAGAACCATAGTGACTTGGGAGAAACACACAGAATAA